ACTTGAAGAACTGTGAAGAACTTTTTTTTTCATCAGTTTTAATCTTTAAACACTTTTTATTAACCCCAGAGTTCGTAAGTTCAATTCTAGCACACAAAAAAATTGGAACAATTTATGTTATGACTGTCGACTCGAGTTACCTGGAATATTTTTTATTTAATTTTTCGAACAATTCCAATGTTTTTGGGCACAGCTAGCCTCTGTAGGGGCGAGTAGAAATGGCAGTTTAGAGCATAATCGAACGAATAATATGCGAAAACAAATTATAACAGCAATATTGAAATATTTGTGACGAGTGAAAATTGTATGATATGATCGGAAAATTTCATGTCATTGTCGGTTCGATGACAGAATCATGCTCTCGTTCTATCACTTGATTCATTCATTTACCAGTTGAATTCTTCATACTCGAGTTGGCAGAAATCATATCGAATTAACTCGAATTATGCGCAACTCGAGTTGACACATCTCTACTCATAACCTTTGAGTGCAAGTTATACATGTTTTTAAGTCTTCTTGTTTGGAGAGTTTCACGACTGTTGTCTGTCTTCTTGACTGCTATCAATTGCTAGCAATGTACCATATCTGGTTGACTTCCACGTAGTTCCCCCTGGAAACCACAGTGATAAAATCATGGTGAATTTATCACAATGGACTAACTGACCTGACCTCATGCTCATCATATTTTCCTCAACTCGTGCCCCACCAGCGTATACCGTTAGCGCAGGCAGGTACACCACTTCATTATCATCAATAAAAAAAACTCTTCTTGTCTTGTCTTGTCTACACTAACATATTGCATAAATCTGGTCAACTGCGAGTTAGTCACAGACAGCGAGGGTTCTGGACAAATAATTATAATATACTGTTGCTCGCCTAGTTGTCGAAATTTGACCATATTTTTTTTTATTTTTATTTTTATCTCTTGCAATATATATGCGCTACTTCCAGCGAATGGTCGCGGGTTCGTTTGGTCTCACGGTGCAAATATTTATATTAATAAATATGATTGTTTGTATCGGTCTGTACATGTTAATTTTTTTTTTTATACTACGATGCTGGCAGACAAGCATACGGCCCATCTGATGGCATGTTATGTAGATATGTATTTACAAAAAAATCTATGTATTAATGTTAAAAGTCGAGTGCCCATAACATAAGCTCTGCTTAGCTTGGGACTAGATGGCGCTGTGTGATTTGTCCTGAGATATTGTTATAAAAAAAATATCAAAGACCAAAAAAAAGAAAGAAAGAAAATTAAAGAATCGAACTATATTTAAAATGGAAATATATTATATATACTAATAAACAAAGAACGGAGGGAGGGGGGGGGGGGAGGGGAGAGAAAAGGGGATTATTAGTAATGCACCATGTCAGGTTCGCCTCCACGCGGTTCACCCTGGAAACTATCGTGACAAATTCTTAGTGATTTTGTCACGATGCGCTAACTGACCTGACCTTATGCTCATCTTATCGTCCTCCACTGGTGCCCCGCCAGCGTAAACCGTTAGCGTAGGCGGGTGCACCATTTCATTATCATATACAAAAAAAACACACAACGGACCTCTAAAAAGACATTGAAAATAAACATGTTTTAACATGGCACAGGTTCCCGCTATAATTTATCAGACGATGGCATCCCAAAACCAGTTTTGGTCGTTGACCCGCGAAAGTCGCTCAGTCTGCCAATATATTAGGCTATTGATTTTGAATCTTTTCAGATCTACCTTACCTCTGGCTACCCCGTAAAAAATAAGGTTTGAATATAAATACATTTACTCATAATTGAAGAGCCGCGCTCTTGTGGGTGGAGTTCTTGCCATTTTCCACGATTTTCTATCAATATCTTTAGTTATTGATATGACACACTTTTTCTTTACAAATACGTAATATATAAAATTAATTAAAATAAAAAAAAAGGCTTATATTTCCTAAAATAGCAAAAATATTACATGCTAATGATTTATGTATATATCATATTATTGATCCGTTTATATAATAGATTCTGTTTGTTATTTAATTATATTATATTATTATAGGGTATATATATATTTAATGTAAATAAAACAATATAATAGAATTGTTTTATTTACATTAAATACATGCGATATAAATATATAAACGTCATGATCATCGTAAAAGGTTGTTCTCAGATCGATCCCCTGTTCTCCCTCGATCCCTCATTCAAATGGGATCGAAATTACGACGGCCTGAGCTCAGGTTCAAACCCTGTAAGGTATTTATAATACGTACTAGATAACTGTATAAATACATAGAGATATATATATATATATATATTTCGTACATACAAAACACCGAGACTGACACAATTAATCATACTCATGCATACAAAGTTTGTGCCGTGCAAGGAATCGAACTCGCGACCATCGGAAGTAAGTCGTGCTAAACCCCTAGACCACCGAGGCCGTCAATAAGACACAAGAACCTTTCAAAATTAAAAATTCATAATTCATTTATTGATGTGAGACATTTTGGCCGCTTATAATCGTCAAATATTTTACATTATAATTTTATTTTTTTCCCTACCGTCCAGTTCAGTATATAGATCCAGTTAAGAAGAACTGGCATAAAACTTAATTTTTTTTAAAAGCCAATTTATTTACAATGTATATTTATTTAGGTGTCTATGTCTAACATTAAATGAAAATCCCATACATGAACAACTATTGCCTTTATAGTGTTTAAACCTACAATTTATATTAATTGTAGTCGAATTTCGACCACTATTTATTTATTTATTTATTAAAGGAAACCTAAGGCTGACTATACTAAAATAAAATCAATATAAACGTCATACTAAGCCACTGACAGGCTTTCACTAATAACAACAGACTAATTAAAAAAAGTTGACATCACTACATATAAAGGCAACAACACGTTATAAAATTAACAGAGAATATGAAATTAATTAACAAGACTACAGTAACAAATAGTGAATTTATACAAATATATACTTAATTCAAACAAATAGTGAATATATACAAATATATACATATACATAATCTTCAATAATAATTAATTGTTATTTAAAGAAGGGCTCTATGTAAATATATACCTAGTTTTTAAAATGTGTACAATTATAAACAACCGTAGAAAAAGTTATAAAAGTGTTTGTCATTGACGGCCTGGGTGGTCTAGCGGTTGATTACGCTTTAGTTCCAATTGCCGGTTCGATTACTTGCACGGTACAAACATTTGTATTAATGAGTATGATTGATTGTATTGGTTTGGATGTTTTCTATGTACAATATGAATGTTTATAATAAAAAAATCTATGTCCATGTATCAGTTATCTAGTACCCGTAACACAAGCTTTAGCTAGCTTGACTTGAGTCTAGATGGCGCTGAGTGAATTATATAAAAACTATTTATATCAGTTGTCTGTACCCATAACACAAGCTCTGCTTAGTTTAGGACTAGACGATAATAGAAGATTGTGCAGTATTTTATTATTATTATTACGATATATACGATTACTTGAATGACGAGCATGCATGACAATAGTTGTTCATGCACGGGATTTTCATTTAATGTTAGACATAGACACCTATGTAAATACCTATACATTGTAAATAACTAGCTTTTAAAACAAAAGTAATTCAATTGAGTTTCTTGCCAGTTCTTCTCAATTGGATCTATATACAGGACTGAACTGGACGGTAGGAAAAAAAATTATAATGTAAAATATTTGACGTTCATAAGCGGCTAAAATGTGCTACATGAGTAAATGATTTTTGAATTTTGAATATTGAAAGGTTCTCTAATTTCAAAAAAAGAAATTCAATTGTGTTTCTTGCCAGTTCTCAATTGAATCTGTATACTGAACTGTATAGTCATAAGCAGTTAAAATGTCCTACATGAATAAATGAATTTTGATTTAATTCGTTGGGAGTGACTATTGGTAGCATAACGGTTTAGTTTAATATATTCCTTTATCTTCCAAAGGTGGCAAGTGCGTCTGGATGAATAGCGGTCCTCCACCGTTTACCAGAAACCTTTTGCCTCAGCCACACTGTGGACTCACTTTCCACGAATGGTATTACCGATACGATTAAAACCTTCAAAAAATCAAATCAAAATGTCTTCATGACTCTTATGATATGTCAAATCTACCGTCAGTTCGGAATTATTTCGAGTTAAGAAGAACTGACAGGAAACTCAACTCGTATTCTCAGGGGCGGATCTACCTAAGGGCTTTTTGGGCTGCAGCCCAGGGCCCCGAGGATACAAAGGGTCCAGTCCCCACTGAAACGATATTTAGAATATAAAAAAGTATCTAGAATGTTAAAAACCCTATCATAAAGTTGGCAACCCTTAGATCAATCAACACATGCATGTGCGCGTCTATCGAAACAAACGGGAATTTCTGGTCGCTTGTTTTTGGTCTGTGTATTTTTTTAGTTGAGTAATATAATTAGGTAGGCCTCTAATTAGATTTAGCCTCTCATTTTCACGATCCACCCCTGCGTATTCTTTTCAAATATGGTTGTATATATTTATAATAATACAGATTCATTTTTAAATTCAAATTTGGGTAAAAAAAGAGCATAAAAGGCCGGCAACGCACTTGCAATTCCCTTGGTGTTGCGGGTGCTCATGAGCGGCGGTAATCACTTACCATCTGGCGCTGTAATCACATATCAGGTGAGGCGCAAGCTCGTTTGTCCCTTAATCTATAATACAAAATTCTGGTCTAAATTTCCGTTATGTTATGATACAACATTTACACACTCAAACATTTATAATATAATATAACTTAAATTCTCTCCCATTTGTAATAATATGATCCATAACTTAACTAAAGGTTTTAAATTAAATATAACTCAAATAACACGCCTCTATCTAATTACAGGTACTATAACGAGCTAATCAGTAAATCTCACTTGAAACCCAACAATGACTTTCCGAAACCGGCTGACAGGACTGCGCGCGCGCAGCCTAACGTCATCGAATATTCAAGGCAAGTCGCCAGTCCCTACGCTGCAGTTGTGGCTTTACGACGTGTTACTCGTAATAAGAAAGACTAAAAAACATTGAAACCACAATGTTTTAACTAGTGTTATCAACAACAGACGCCATTTTGTATAAACAGCTGTTGATTTGGAGGTTATTTTGTGGGAATGTTATGTTTATAAGGTGAGTGGTTTTAATCTTACTTTAATTGTTAAGAGACATTTTGAATTCGTATTATCGAATACAACTTGTGTAAGCTTCTTACGGGTGCAATAATAAATATATATATTTTAATATAAACTGTATTTTTTCCTTAGTAAAGTAGCTATTTGTGTGTGAAACATTGATTGAAATCGATTAAGTTTTTTTAAGTTAATCTTTACATAGTATAAAATGAAGTCGCTTCTGTTGACTGTTAGCGAGCCTATTATACTAGTGAACGAATTGTAATACAGCTCTTAGCAATAGATTCAGAGGAAGGTTTATATGTATAATATATACATATTATGGTACAGAAAAGTGGAAAAATTTAAAGATTTTTAATGTGATGTTGTGACTGCATCCATGTGAGGCCGGGGCGGGCTAGCACACTATAAAGTTATATATCCTATGTATAGTATAATGTAAATAATGTTAGGATATAGAGAAAAACAGTTTTAAATATTTAAAGACTTTATATGTATAAAAAATATATTATTTATTACATAGTATTTTAATTATTATTGTTAAGAGAAATTTATTATATTAGACTCTGTTTACATTGAAGCAAAAACGTATGAACATACATGGATGACCATACGAAAAATTTTTAATATCTTTTTTTTTAATTTATTAGACATTATTGAGGAACCATCAGTCAAACAGTACCATTACAAAATATACATAATACACAAAACTGAAACTTCTGTATTTACCTTTAACTTAAAGGATGTTTATAAGTAAACTAGCCTTTGCCTGTGGCTTCGCTCGCGTTAATTTATCCCCTTAAGAGTGGAATTTATCAAAATCCTTTCTTAGGGGATGCCTACGTTATAATAGCTTTATGCATGCAAAGTCTCAGCCCGATCGGTTTCAAATTGACAAAGTTTCATACAAACTTTCATCCCCTATTTTATCCCCTTGGGGGTAGAATTAATCAAAATCCTTTCTTAGTGGATGCCTACGTCATAACATCTACCTGCATGCCAAGTTTCAGCCCGATCCGTCCAGTGGTTTGGGCTGTATGTTAATAGATCACCATGTCAGTCAGTCGGTCAGTTATATATTTATAAATAAATTAGGTACATAAAAAACCATATAAACATCAATCCAGGATATGAAATTCCAGGCTTTCTACTATCTTATTTTCGACGTTTATATTTTATACTAGCTGCCCCGCGCAACTACGTCTGCATCACACTTACTTAATTTATAATTATATTTCGCCCAATTTACATATCTTTTTAAATTATAGCCTACGTGTTATTCTGATGTATGTACTACCTATATGACTGCAAAGTTTCATTAAAATCCGTTCGGTAGTTTTTGCGTGAAAGAGTAACAAACATACATACTCACAAACTTTCTCGGTTATAATAATAATTAGATTTTACATTTGTAATCCTACCTAACAGTTTTCTTAACCTACAAACTACTTACTACGTGGTATTTATTTTATTAATTTTTAGATATTCTTTGTTATCTTTTTTACATTAGGACATTTTTACATATTTTGCATTTTGTACCTTATTCTATTTGTTAATTTTTACATTTTAATTTTCCACAATACAGTGGACCCCCGGTAGTCCGACAATCATTTTGCAGGGCAGTGTCGGACTATCGTATTTGTCGGATTATAGAGTGCTGCTTAAGGGTCCTCTGCTTATAGTCCGGAATTTTTTACAAAAGAGTATCTTGTAATCCGACAAATTACAGATCCAGTGATAAGATTCTATGTTATATATGTATGTATGTATATGCACTCTGAAGTATATTGTCAAAGTAATATTCAATAACAAATAATAGACAATGTCGGATTACAAGGGGGGCCGGATTAGACAGGGGCCAGATTACCGCTGGTCCACTGTAATATTACAGTTTGTATTCTTACATTAAAGGATCAAATATCCTCACCGTTGCCTCACAGTACATTTATAAAAATATTATGTATACAAGGAAAAACTTAGATAGTTTCTATTCTATTCTATTCTTACAATACAACTTAATATTAACTTAATATAGACATAAAAACATTGGAGATAAATAAGTTGAACAATATGCCTACAAAATATTATTGATGTCTGTAATGAGCATTCAATTTATTTTAAACCGTAAGAAATAGAAGTAATCTTTATTAAAATAAACTCAATATAAGCATTTGTTTAATTCTACCGCCCATTCGGAAAGCAAACTCATCACAAGAGTGAACAAGAAACTTGAGTGTTGCTCTTATAAATCAATCTTGTTCAGCATTTGAATTTTAAGATATTGATCAAAGTGAAATAAAAGGATTAGTGATTAAAATAAGAAGACGTAAATGAACCGGAAATTGGCTATATCCCCTTCCTAATATAGATAAATTGCTGTAGAACTGTTTTCAATGAAAATACCATTTGTAAAAATTTGTTGAAAGACTACTTTTAAACAACACACTACTCGTAAAACAATGGAACACATGTACAGGATAAAAAAAATAGTCCAAAAGGATGTCGCCACAAAAGAAGCGACATTATTTCTATAAAATAAAAAAAAAACACACTACTCGTTTAAAAGCACTTTTTCACCATATGAACTTATGCAGCTTTCTTTAACACCTCCCAAAATTTCCAATAATAAATCATAAAATTAAAAATGTATCAATGTTTTTATGTGAATTCGTCACGATGGGGGTAATTGACATGACCTCATGCTCGTCCTATCTCCACTGGTGCTCCGCTAACGTATACCAAGCACAATTGGCACCATTCCATCATCATCCAAATAAAATCGGAAGGCAATTCTTTTAAACATGTCAGACATAGAAACAACCTCGAGTTACATCAACTAATTGCGCAAGAGTCAATGTATTGCGTTTCTAAACTTTTGTGTAAGTTGTTGCGAGTTGTACGCTAATGGCCCATGCTGGCTTTGGACGAATATTTAACAAAAAATACAAAAATATATGTTTTAACACTTACATACGCTTTGATATTAATGTTTTCTCCGATAATTTTTAGAATGTTTTTTCTTAAATGCCAGTGTGAAACTGGCATTTAATATAAAATCAAAAATTGTAAGTTTTAACACTTAACTTTGGTAGTAATGTCTTATACAAAACACACATACATCACTTTACTCTATTATCAGTCATTTTTGCAGTGATCCCGATATCAGGATATCTTTGGTAATTTTTTTACACACTTAATTTCATTATAGAAGTTTTCATATGGATTCTTAACGTTATTTTAAAATATTCTATCGTTTATGTTCATCAGGGATCGTACAAGATTAGAATGTTACACGATCCCTGATGAACATAGGTAAAAGAATTTTTCAAACCGGTCTTCTGTTTTAGATATTTTATTTATTTTAATAAAGAAACAGTTAAATCTTCGCGGACGAAGTCGCGGGTAACAGCTAGTCTATATATAAATATGTATACATTTGAAATTGTCGAATACCAATCGGATTTTCCTACTACCAGGCTGCTAACTTATATTTTGTTACCTTTTTTAATTAATCTAACAATCTTACTATTATATTATATTTTTTAAGGTTTTTAATTTTAGGTTCTTAGTTGTACAATTAAGTTATGGAAATAAAATTAAAAAAAAACGTAAATTAGACATTAGGTATATCTATGTAATATATCTTACTAATATTATAAACGTGGAAGTTTGTTAAGGTGCACGGATGTTTGTTAATCTTTCTCTATTTTATTATATAGCTTATACATCAGAATAACACACAGCCTATAAATATCAAGCAGATGAAACCGCGGACACAGCTAGTATAGAAATATACGATCAACCACCGGACCAGCGTCCTCGCTTTTGCCAGCTACATATGTTTGAGTAGAACCAATATATTATCACCCAAAAAAAAACAATTTTGACGGAAAACCCTAGTTATGAATTGACGTTGCTATCTTGCTACTACGTCGTTTGCTAACATCGTTCTATAAAAAAAAACTTTGCTATCTACAAAAAAAAACAGAAAAAAAAACAATTTTGCCGGGAAATCTAGTTACAAATTGACACAAGAATGAGTTTCTCTGTGGTTCTCGCTCGTTTCTCTATCTATGGCACAACGCACTAAAAACAAGTATGCAATGAAATCTAGCTTTAATCCTGGCCATGTAGGGACAGAAGTCACTGGGACATACACGCTAAACCGGCTCCATTGACACCAATCATCCACCTTCACAGGACTAGTAATGCTGTGAAGAAATTATCTAGGATTTGGCTGCTTTATCTAAAATCAAATTCAAACTTATTATAAACAGATAGAGTCTTTTTTCATGTATACGGTGGTACGAAAAAGTCAGCATTTCCTGCCATACAAAAATCAGTATTTTTTTGTGTATGGAACGGTCTGCTTGGTCTTGTGAATCTCTGAAACCTAGTCCCATTTTTATGGAAGTTTCACTCGCAGATAGCTGATAGTGTAAAGAGTAATTTAAGCTACTTTTATTTGAGAAGATGTATTTATTTTAATAAAAAAAAAGTATAAATCCGTGTGCGTGGATTTCATTGGATTGTGGACAGCTAATAAAATAAAAAAAAGATAAATCGCTTTTCAAACTTGATTTCTTTATTGGAGACGCCATGGAATGTTCGAGAAAAATGTCCATAATTTTTAGAAGAAAAAACAAACCAATATCGCTGTTCACTGTTCGACGTTCCTTTTTCAAAACATGGAATTTTATTTTTAAGAGAAATTAAATGTCTATTCACGATCGCAAACACAATGCAATAAACAATCACTTTTTTTTAATTCACTTAAATATTACAGTTAACCAACATAATTACGAACGACGCCATTTCACATCACTAGTTTCAAAGCACGTAGGAAGTTAAAGCACTCTGTAATTAATTTAATTATCAATCACGGCGCGAGAATCGAACCCGATACGCTCCGGTGAGCGGCCGGCCATGCGCGGACTACTGTACTGTAATATTTAGATTGTTTTATTATTGTACTACAATAGAATATCAGCATCTGTGGAAAATATCTCTTGAGTGTTTATGGATGATAATGGAATGGTGGACCCGCCTGCGCTAACGGTTTACGCTGGCGGGGCACCAGTGGAGGATGATAAGATGACATGAAGTCAGATCAGTTAATCCATCGTGGCAAATTCATTAGAAATTGAACATGATGGTTTCCAGGGGGAACCGAGGTAAACCTGACGCAATAGGGTTATTATTAGAGTTATCTACATTACTAACAATCCCCTACCCAACTTATGAGTGTTGTCCCTGAGAAAAGGGAGAGGACGACCAAAAAAGATGGATTGCGTGAAAGATGATATGTATAAAAGGAGAGTAAACTCAGATATGACGGCCGATAGGGATAGTGGAAGATGAGGACATAATCGACCACAAATAATGTGATAAAGGCAAGGCAATGATGATGAGTATTGTCCCTGATGAGTAAGAGACACTAACAATTGTCAACGGCAAGAGACTCTTCATCATTATCCTCTTGAATGAGTATGAGTGGTATCACGGGTGTCACATGATAACGTGATGTCCTTGGTGCTCATGTATATAGGCGACGGTTTTTTATGGATGATAATGAGATGCACCCGCCTGCGCTAACGATTTACACTGGGGCAGCAGTGGAGGATGATAAAATGAACATGAAGGCAAGTCAGTTAGCACATCTTGGCAAACCAAATTTACACCAATGGTTTCCAAGAGGAACCAAGTGGAAGTCGACCTGATATGATACATCACTGTAGCAATTGAGTTATTAGTCCACTTTACTAACAATTTCCTTCCTTCTAAAGGCGACGTTTACCGTTTACTGTCAGATGGACCGTCAGATTGTTTGCCACCTAAATATTATAAAAAAGCTTGTTAGCCATTTCAATTTCATAAAAAAAATGTTTTGACCCCAAATAATGGGATGAAGCAAGATTTAATATAATTACATTAGGGTGGGATTAAGGGAGACGAATTTCTTAGCATCTTAGATTTACCGTGCGGGAGCCAGGTCCATCGTGTGGCAGAGAAGGAAACTCCGAGCAGTTACCGGGACTTGTGTCCCGGGTGTAGATTTGAGGGGCCCCGACGTACGTGAACACTCACTTCCGAGCAGTTACCGGGACTTGTGTCCCGGGTGTAGATTTGAGGGGCCCCGACGTACGTGAACACTCACTTCCGAGCAGTTACCGGGACTTGTGTCCCGGGTGTAGATTTGAGGGGCCCCGACGTACGTGAACACTCACTTCCGAGCAGTTACCGGGACTTGTGTCCCGGGTGTAGATTTGAGGGGCCCCGACGTACGTGAACACTCACTTCCGAGCAGTTACCGGGACTTGTGTCCCGGGTGTAGATTTGAGGGGCCCCGACGTACGTGAACACTCACTTCCGAGCAGTTACCGGGACTTGTGTCCCGGGTGTAGATTTGAGGGGCCCCGACGTACGTGAACACTCACTTCCGAGCAGTTACCGGGACTTGTGTCCCGGGTGTAGATTTGAGGGGCCTCGACGTACGTGAATACTTACTTCCCAGCAGTTACCGGGACTTGTGTCCCGGGTGTAGATTTGAGGGGCCCCGACGTACGTGAACACTCACTTCCGAGCAGTTACCGGGACTTGTGTCCCGGGTGTAGATTTAAGGGGCCCCGACGTACGTGAACACTCACTTCCGAGCAGTTACCGGGACTTGTGTCCCGGGTGTAGGTTTAAGGGGCCCCGACGTACGTGAACACTCACTTCCGAGCAGTTACCGGGACTTGTGACCCGGGTGAAGGTTTAAGGCTCCTACGTCAACACTCACCTCCACTGCTCTTGTTTCTCTCCCTGCCCGTACACATCTAGTAGGAGACTGCTAGTGCAACTTTAGCTACGCGTTCTAATATAGAACTCACTGCAGTTTTAGACAGCTAGGCCTGTCTAAAACAGCCAGTATCTTTTAGATTGTGATTTAGTGATTTTGCAGGTATACTTTTTGCTCCCACTTCGACCGCATATAAATTAATCACATAGCCATTTCTCCGTTAATTCGTTTATTCGTTCGTAATATTTATTTGATTTTATTGCATAGGCGTTAGGTATATTTGTTTCCTTGGCACAGTGAGCTCTGCCAGTATTATGTTAATATTGTATTATTTATGAATTACCATACAATTTACATTATTATGAAATAATATTAATGATAGTATTATGTTTGTTTCAGATATTAAAAGTGATTAAAACTTGTGAGTGGTGAAAATATAGTGACAGATTATACGGAAAACAAGATGGCGTCGCTTAAATTTCTGTTGTGTTTAAGTTTTATTCACATGGCTGTGGGGAAAGGTGAGTGATTCATTACACTTTATAAATATTGTAGTTAATAAATTATATGTATAATAATAAATTATTATAAACTAACTGTATAATAATATAGGTTGCGTTGGTCACGCATTTATTAACCTCTCGTAACTATATTTTATGGTTACCATAGACTGATTTATTACTGTAGATGTCATGTTATAATCTATACTGATATTATGAAAATACTGATATTAATAAAATAAATTATTTGATTTTGACAATAACTCATAAAGCAAGCTGCTTGATGGCAGATATAATTAATATACAAAAATGATACCAAAGACAACAGCTGTGTGCTTAAACTCTTTGCCTTTCGTATAAGGATAAATAAAAGAAAACAACGAAATAGTTGAGTTTTACAAAGTCTACCTTAATGTTCTTTGTTTGCTTTTTTAATGATAAATATACATAGCAATAGTGCCTTTGTACGGAATTTTCATTTAATGTTAGACATAGACACCTATATTCAACAAAGTAAATAATCTCACTTTTGAAAAAATAATATAGTTGGGTTTTTGCCAGTTCTTCTCAATTGAATTTGTATACTGAACTGGATGGTAGGTAATGAAAAGATTAATACAAAAAACTTGACGTTCATAAGTGGTTAAAATGTCCTAGATGAATCAATGATTTTTGATTTCATTTGATTTGATATGGACTGAACTAACGGTAGTTTAGTTCGTGTTATTACGATAATGTGATAACATTTTGTCTATTTATTACTTGTTTTTTCAATTCGCCACGATGGGCCAAATAACCTCATTCTTCATTGCTGCATCATCAATGTTCATCATTAGCGAATATATCATCATAATTCCATCATCTACCAAAAATTTTTCAAATCACCTCTCCTTTATCGACGGCCTCGGTGGTCTAGCGGTTTAGCTCACCGCTTCAATTCCGAATGTCGCGGGTTCGATTCCTCGCACGATACAAACATTTATATTCATGAGTATGATTGTTTTGATCAATACACTGCCACCTCTGATTAGACTGTTTTGTCTCCTTTTGTCAAAATTGCAATAGCATATGCTGGTTGTCACTCTATTCTCCCTAATTTAAATTTAAAAATAAATTAATAATTTTCTAAATACAGCTTGTACATATTTAGAAAAATACTGATAAATTACATTTGAAAAGAATAAAAGCTGAGTTTCTTGTCAGTTCTCAGCTCGAAAGCATTCCGAACTGACAGTAGATTTGACATATCATAAGAGTCTGTAGTAGACCTACATGAATAAAAATTATTTGTATCTATGTTTACATCAGTTGTCTACTACCCATAACATAAACTTTCCTTAGCTTGGGACTAGATGGCGCTGTGTGAATTGTAATGAGATATTATTATTGTTATTTGCCTCATGTTCAGAGCTTTTGCTGCTTTTTACCAAATAAAGTAACTTAAGTTGACACCAAGTAAGTGCGAGTGAGTGTGTATGAGTGAGTGTGTATGAGTGAGTGTGTATGAGTGAGTGTGTATGAGTGTGTGGGTGAGTGAGTGTGTTATTATTATTATTTATATTTTAAATTCAGGGCAATACCCTGTAAATATTAACCTTCTTTCATTAGCATTTAGGTAGCAAATTTTACCGCCTACAACTTCAATCCATCATCATATAATATATACAACCCACGTGTCGACTGGGGTACCTATTGTTTTTTATTTCAATGACTCAAAGTAACGGTCTTTTAACGGTTATAAACGCTAAATATATGAACCGACTTCGTATTTTTTGTATGCGTACAAACAATACTTTTTTTATGTATCTGGTACCTCTGACGGCTCACCTGATTAAAAGTGGTAACACGTCATCATCGACAGCCTCGGTCTAGCGGTTTACCACGACGCTTTACTTTGGATCGTAGTGGGTTCGATTCGTCGCATAATTAAAACATTGTATTCATGAGTTGTTTGTATTGGTCTGAGTGTTTCCTATGTATATTATTTGTGTATTTACAAAAATAATGTTTCTATGTATATATCAGTTCTCTAGTAACCATAACACAAGCTCTGCTTAGTTGGGGACTAGATGGCGTTGTAGAGTTTTCAAGAAGGGTATATTGAGGTTTCTTAAGGCGCATGTAATACACCTGGTGTGTAGGTAGTCATAGGCTAGAGTAACCATTTGCCATCAGGTGGGCCGTATGCCTGTATGCCACTTTAGCGCGATGGTATCACCTCACCACTACAGCGTTATATATGATGTGATGAGGTATCGCTACATAATATATTGTTTATGTCTATGGGGCACTTGATACGGCACGATGATTTCATGAAAATTATTATTGAGGGGAAAATAGAAGGAAAGAGGGGGAGGGGAAGACCAAGGAATAGCTACATCAAACAAATTGAGGACAAAATGGGAGTCGTGTCGTATCAAGAATTAAAGAGCATGATGGAAGATCGCGGAAAGTGGTAAGAGCTCCACCGACAAGAGCGTAGCTCTTAAATTATGAATGAATGAATGAATGTCTATGTAGGTAGTCAGTATATAGTATGTGAAATAATTGTACTATTTAATGTACAGTAAGTAGTAAGTTAGTAATATGTAAGTTTAATTAGTAAGTTTATTACAAGGTGTGCTACAAATCTTATTAGAAACGCGGATTCATGATGCTGTTTTACATTGAACTTAAATCTATGTTAGTGAAGACGTAAACTAATAGAAGGGTCACTAAAGTTGGCAGAAATAATACAATTTGTAGGTAGGTAGTCCATTTTGTTTTTTTGTATAAAAAAAACAAACTCCATTTTGTTTTTTTTTTTATAAAAAAAAAAGACAAAATTGACTACCTCATTTTTTTCTTCTGTTTCAATTTCTCGCGTTACACACTCTAATAAAAGTGACCGCACCAATTCGCATTGCAAATTTTCAACCGGCCATTAATTTTAGTGGCGTTAAAAATTACCACAACAGTGGGCCAGTGGGTCCATGAACAGAATCAGAACCGTGAAATTGTGGCATTCAACGGATTATAATGTGGCATTCGATACGCATAACGTCTTCAACTGTTTTTAATGCAACTTAGATGTCAAATAAACTGATGGAAATAATCATATTATATACTTACATCAAAAGCCCTAATAACGGGCCACTCGAATCAATACTCCAATAGACTATTGCTATTGAGTAAAAACAAGCATCATGACTAACGTGACCATTTATTCTTTGACACAAAACGGGACATCATTTCATACAGGTCGATTAACAGTAAGTCAATAAAAAAAAATTTAAAAAGTTACTTAAAAGTTATGAATGAAACACATATACCCGATAAATATAAGTAAATATGTTGATTTGCTTTAATATAGCTAGTGAAGATTTTATGTAAGAATGACACTCTTGCAACGTTTTTTTATATTCATCTTATCAACTTCACAATGGGCCGACTACACAACTTTTCGCAGTTTCCGAAAACGGGACAATTTCGCGTCCCAGGTGCCACTTCGGGGACACCGGGAGTCGTAATCATAAAAAGGGACAGTCCCGTTCTAAACGGGACGTCTGGTCACATTAGTCATGACTAGAGCCATCACTGGACACTGCAAACTGAATAAATACATGGCAAATTTAAACCTTAGCTTAACAACAAACTGCAGATTTTGCCAAGCAAAACAGAAAACGCTACTACACATCCTATGTGGTTGTAGCCCACTCATGCATAAACGAAATATCCCCTTTCGAAATTATACACTATATCCTGAGGAGATAAAAAAACCATCGCTCCTAAGAATATCCCACAATTCTTCTCCCTGACCGGCCTAGCCCCAACGCTGTCTCTGTCTGTCCGTCCCTATGCATGTTTAAATCTTTAAAACTACGCAACGAATTCTGAAGCGATTTTTTTTTAATAGATAGAGATATTCAAAAGGAAGGTTTATGTATAATACATGTACACCCATGCGAAGCCGGGGCGAGTAGCTAGTCATCAATAAAAGAAAATCCGTATTCGTTCAGTAGTTTTTGCGTTAAAAAGCAATAAACATACATTTAATTCGGAAATCGCGTTTTATATTAAGTATTTAAGATAAACGATTGTAAATAAAAAAAGAGATACACGTATATACAAAAAACGACGGTTCACTGAACCGGTGGACCGTCAATCATTTCATCATTTCATCATGCAGACATGAGCAGACAATGTACAGGAAAGAACAGCAATTCATCATTTGGATGTCAAGTTATTACATCCAATTATTATCATTTTTGACAAAAAATCGCCGGCAAGGTTTACATTTTGAATACTTTTTGGACGGCTTCGGTGGTCTAGCGGTTTTCGCACCGCTTTACTTTCAATGGTCGCGGGTTCGATTCCTCGCACGGTGCAAACATTTGTATTCATAAGTATGATTTGTATCGGTCTGGGTGTTTTTTATGTATATTATATATGTATTTACAAAAAATATATCTATATATCAGTTGTCTAGTACCCATAACACAAGCTCTGCTTACAAGGCTAGATGGCGCTGTGTTAATTGTTTATTTATTTATTTATTTTTAATTGTTTTACTTCGAAAATATTTGATTTCGTTGTTATCCACGTACAATATTAATATTTGTATTCATATTTTTTTTACTAGGTATAACTAAGCTGATACAATCATACTCATCAATAAAAATGTTTGTGCCGTGTGAGGAATCGAACCCGCGACCATCGGAAGTAAAGCATACTAAACCGATAGACCAAGGGGGAAAGGGGATTGTTGGTAATGTGGACTGCTGATCCTATTGCTAGCAATATACCATCAGGTTGACCTCCACGCGTTTCCCCCTGGAAACCATCGTTATAAATTCTTGTTGAATTTGTCACGATGAGCTAAATGACCTGACCTCATGTACATCTTAGCATCCTCCACTGATGCCCCGCCAGCGTAAACCGTTAGCGCAGGCGCAGGCGCAGGCATAAAAAGAAAACAAAAACGATGGACCACCGAGACCGTAAAAATAAAAAAAAATATATCTACAATTGAATCAAGAACC